GATATGCTGCGGAGTCAACCCATCAATGATTCCAACACGATCAATGAAAAGCCTACCGACATACTTCGGAGTACAGTGTCTCCGCTGAGCGATTCGGTCTCCCACTGAGCATGTATGTGTTTCCACATATTTTGTTACCCAAAACGTGTTTGTACCATGTTTCACACTCGCTCTTATCTTCCATCCACAACCACTAACCTGACATGTTGACACAAGGAGAGTTTTTGTTGACTTGTATATTCTGAAGGAGAACTTACGCCTCACTGCTGTCAACCGCAGCTCTGAAAGCAGTGCATCCTTGCTAACAAAACTCTTGTTGACATTTATACCGTTACCATTCGATCGTCCTCCTTCAATAGCATATGTATCTTTGAAATCTTCAAAAACCACATCACCATCTTCTTCCTCATCCTCATCTCTAACATTTCCATAAAGACTATAATCCTCACCATTCTCGTCCGCTTCAGCAACATTAGAGCAAACAGAGATTTCAGCATCCTCCTCCTCCCCATCCTCCTCCTCCTTATCATCCTCCTCCCCATCATGATTTTCATCTCCAACCAACTCATTATCACCTTCATCTTCAAAACATTCATCAGCTTCTTCCCTTTTCTCTGAAACCGTTCCCACCTTGCTACGGCTTGATACACAAAGACATACTCTATGAGTTTTGAGTATCTTGAGCAAGTTATGAACTTGTCTATCACTTGTAACATGAATCGGAGGGGTGTCTGGAGCCATCATCATTTCTGTTGGTAATGAGTAGCTAATCTCCACAGTGACTGTGCTCATGTCCAGGTTATAATCTTCTTGTGCCATTGCAACAAGTTCAGCATGTGTTGAATCTTCATTCAATAAAAACAATCTTTCTCCTTTGAGATCATCAACCACAAAATCCCAACGGCAATCTTTCAACACCCATTCTCCATACACTGCATGTAACTGACGGATTATCTGCAAAAATTCAAAATAAAACACATTAATAAACATAGAGAATTTCATGAAAGTTTACTAAACATCGTCTGGACGACTTACCCGTAGCTCGTCCATTAAGGTCATTTTTGCAATTGAAATTTAAAGGGGACGACTTACTTCTAAGTCGCCCAGCTTTGTTTGTTAAAAAAAAAAACGCCAGACGACTTATAATTAAATCGTCTAGGTAAAACGGGCTACTTTTGCATTTGACCGAATTGTGTCAGATATTTGACTTTTTCTGGACGACTTAAAATTAAGTCGTCTATGGGAAAGTTAAAATATCAATATTTTATTTAATCCAGACGACTTACGGATAAGTCGTCTCAGGTTAGTTTTGCAATTCAAAAATAAAACTTAAATTTTTAACTTCTCCAGACGACTTAATTAGAAGTCGTCTGATCAGACGAATTATGTTAAAGTCGTCCAGGATAAGTAAGGTTTGACCAGAAAACTCGAAAAATATTCTGGACGACTTTGATTATCCTGGACGACTTTAACCTAAGTCGTCTGAGCGGTCGAATTTTAATTAAGTCATCTGGAGAAGTTAAAAATTTAAGTTTTATTTGTGAATTGAAAAACTAACCTTAGACGACTTATCCGTAAGTCGTCTAGATTTAATAAAATATTGAAATTTTAACTTTCCTAGGGACGACTTAATTTTAAGTCGTCCAGAAAAAGTGAAATATCTGACACAATTCGGTCAAAAGCAAAACTAGACCGTTTTACCTAGACGACTTAATTATAAGTCGTCTGGTGTTTTTTTTTTAACAAACAAAGCTGGACGACTTAGAAGTAAGTCTTCCGTTTGACCAGAAGACTTATCCGTAAGTCTTCTACATCCAGAACTTACGTGTAAGTCTTCTACGCGAAGAGATCTGGAAAAAAATTCAATTTCAAACCTTAAACTAGGTGAGATGACTTCCTTTGCACACAGAGTCTTCTCCAACCACCCAGAACATCGAACGAAAGTAACCCACCAACAATTGTATGCTTAAATGGCTCTATCAACCATAAAAAATTTGCTATCAAAAGCTTGGGTTTTTGGTATGAA